ACTCCCAGACTTTAAACTTTATTTTAAACCTATAATAATCAAAACAGCCTGGTATTTGTACAAGAACAGGCATATAGACCAATTGAATAGAATTGAGATTCCAGAAACATCAATTTCTCAACCAATTCATCTTTGACAAAGCCCACATCACCCACTAGTGGGGAAACGAGAACCTTCAGTAAATGGTGCTGGGAAAACTGGCTAACCACATGCAGATGATTGAAACAGGACCCTTACCTATCCCCATACACAAAATTAACTCTAAATGGATCACAGACCTAAACATAAAACTCAAACTATAAGAACCTTAGGCTTAGAAAATGCAGGAAACACTCTTATGAAAGTTGGAACTGGCAACCAATTCCTGATCAAAACCCGAAGTTGTCCATGCTATAAGAGATAAGATAGACAAGTGGGACCTCATCAAACTGACAAGATTCTGAAAAGCCAAAGAAACCATCAAGAGAGTAGGGAGACAGCCCACAGACTGGGAAAAAGTATTTGCCAACTCCATGTCTGACAAAGGCCTAACATCAAGGATCTACAAGGAACTCAAATGTGCTGAGAAGAAAAAAACAAATAGCCCCATTACAAAGTGGGCAAAATATATGAATAGACACTTCTCAAAAGAATACGTATGAGCAGCCAACAAATACATGAAAAAATGTTCAGCCACACTAGTCATCAAGGAGATGCAAATTAAAACTACACTGAGATACCACCTAACTCTAGTCAGAATGGCCATCATCAATAACTCAAAAAATAACAGATGCTGGAGAGGATGTGGTGAAAAGGCAACACTTCTACATTGTTGGTGGGAGTGTAAACTAGTACAGACTCTGTGGAAATCAGTATGGCAATTCCTAAAAGTTCTAAAAATCCACCTTCCATATGACCCCACAATCCTCCTACTGGGAATATACCCAGAAGAATTCAAATCACTCTGTAAAAAAGATACCTGCACACATATGTTTATTGCAGCATTGTTCACAATAGCAAGAACATGGAACCAACAGTGCTGCCCATCAAAAGAGGACTGGATAAAAAAATGTGGTACATATACACAATGGAACATTACGCAGCCATAAAGAAGAACAAAATCATGAACTTCGCAGCAACCTGGAAGGAATTAGAGTCTATAATACTGAGTGATCTTTCACAGAAACAAAGAACTGAGTATCACAGGTTTTCACTCATAAGTGAACCTTGAACAACTACCATAATACTATAAGAAAAAGATTGACAGAAGCGGGAAACTGCAGGGGTGGGGGATGAGGAGGTGGGATTGACTAGTCAAAATCTGCCTGGGCACAGGGGGGGGCACACCTCATCAACAAGGGTGGCTGCACAATGAATATTTGTATACCTAACCCTGAATTGTACCTCACAATTTTAAAATAAAATAAAATTTAAAAAGAAATGAGAGAACCCAAAGATATGAAGATACTATGGTGCATTTGGAGGGCAGAATGACACTCATAGACTGGAGGACCTGAGGACATCCCCGTGAGCTTTTATGGGATCTGCCACCTGTATCAGGATGAATGCAGGTGACTTCCACAGAACTCCCTAAAGATGCAGTGCATCTGACCATCTGAAATCCATCGATTTCCACCTAAGAACACAAAGTATTAGATCCCAAAATCTCTTTCCAGAGACCAATAATGTATAGACTCTGAAATCAGTCCTCTCAGCCTTCAGAGAAGGTGCTAGCATTATCAGAGTTTGCAGGTTTTCTAAGTCCATGTCTGCCTGTCCCTCTAGCAATGCCCTACTTGTTGGAAAGTATTCCTGGGAGACAGCAGGTTGAGAGCAGAGGTAAGGGTAAGTCTCAGAGATAATATTTAGAAATTCAGGGAATCTATAGAGGAAAAGAAGGAAGCCAGATAGCCAAATTCTGCTCCACCTTCCCATTCACATCAGCTGGCCTCAAAAGCCAAGAGTGAGGACCACCTACCTGGGTCAGGATTCCCAGCAGACTGTGGCTCTGTGTTGGACTCCTGGAGCTCTGTCTTCTGTCCTTAGGATCCCTGATCAGTTTGGGAGTTAATATGCAAATACAGCATTTATCATTTAGCCAATACTAAAGAGTATCCTAGATTGTAAGTCACCACTCAGCACCTGCTATTTTTCATGCCAGGGATAAACAAATTCCTGAGGGGTAATGTCATTCTGCCAAGAGCTGTGCCACACCATTCCACACATTTCAAGACACTTGAGACAGACTGTGCAACTGCTGGTCCCAGTCCAACAACGAAGCCGTAGGAAACAGATGTGAATGAAGGAAAGAGGAGACACAGACTATGGGTCAGTCAGTGAGCTGGGGAGTTTCAGGGAAGGCTTTGTACCCATGTTGGCTCTTTGTCTCAACCTCAGATTTCAGACAAGTGACGTCAACATATCCTGGAGAAAAAAGTCCTCCTTTCATGTCTCCTTCCAGGTCCACTCCAGGATACATTGACACTGCCTTGCACATCTTCTCTGTCCCCTCTTCTTCAAACATGACGTGCAAAGTACCTTTCAAGGACATTCCTTGATCAAACCCAACAAGAATAGTTTCCCTCTACATCCTGTAGTCTATTTGCTTGCATTTTCATGCATTTTGCTTGCATCTGCGCTTGTCAGTTATAATGTACAGCTATTTCAAAATGCCACATATGGCTGGACAATTCAGCTGAAAATCACTGGGATCAATTAAGGCAATAACTTCTGAAGCACCATCACCAGCATGTCCCAATTAAATAGAGGATTGGACTTAAAATCTGCCATTATTATGGTGTTTTCTATTCATTACTCTCATTCTGTTTCTTCTCCCCTTCTTATTTTTTTTTTGGGAGGGGACGTTGAATACTATTATCGTTCCATTTCTCTCCCTACTAGCTTGAAACGTATGCATTTATTTTCTATGACATTAGCACTTACCTAGAAGTGCTAGAAGTGCTTCAAGATTTTTAACTTACAGAAAAACTAATGCTAATGAATAGGTTTGCTTTCCTCCCACACAATTCAAGGACCACAGAACACTTCCATTTACCTCAACCCTCTCCCAACTCTTATGCCATATATTTTACGTTCATATACTTTGAAAGCTTACAAGACTTTATTATTTCATAGCATGAGTGTTCATTTACATTTGCCCACATTTTTTGCACTTTCTTTGCTCTTTATTTCTTCCTGTATCTATGACCTTCCATCTGGGATCATTTTCCTCCTACCTGGGGTACATACTTTGCTGTTCAATACAGTAGCCACTAGCCAATTGTGATTCTTTAAATGTAAATTATGTAAAATTGAATTAAATTATAAATCCAGTTTCTCAGTCTCACCAGCCACATTTCAAGTGTTCAGCAGCCTCATGTGACTAATGACGTCTGAACAGCAAATATATAGAATATTAGCATTGTTGCCAAAAGCTCTAGCTCTTTTCCTGCAGACCTTATGTAGTAAACACCTCCTATTTGTGTTTGGCGGAAAATATCTGAATTAAACCTTCTCTTGAATTACCAAGTTCAGTGTTACCTGAAGGGAGCTCTCATTTGTACTCTACCCTTGTGAAGTTACTCCCATAGATCCCACCGCCCTACCATCCACCTCAAGTAAATATCCAGGGACAGGTGCAGAGGGGCTCTTGGTCCGGCCTCTGCCGCCCCCCGCCCTGGGCCGGAGCTCCCCCCAGCACCGCCGAGGGGCCGCTCCATGGGGCTGAGCGCACTCGGAGACTCCAGCAGAGGATAGAAGAACAAGAACAGAATCACCAGCACTGGCTGAAGATACCCAGCCTACAGAACCTGAGAAGGAAATTTATAATCAGGTGAATGTAGTATTATGTTGGGAGCCAGCCTTGGAGGTCCACATGATTGACAGGCTCCTGGTGGGCCCAAGACCCCGGGCCACAGGGCGAGCCTGGGAAGCTGAAGCCCTTCTGTCTTCCACCTTCGTTGTTTGGTACTGCCGAAGAAATTCTGTGCAGTCGTGGAAGAAGAAAATGGCATGTTTATGTGAAGTACTCACACCTAACCTGAGAATGTCATGGTTCATTTTCCCATTTTCCCACTATGCCGCTTGGCCTTTTTTAACATATGCAAGGGTTAAACTCTGAAGCACATCAAGAATGCTTTCTTTCACTTGGTTATAAGTTACTAGATATTACTTGAGTAAAAAATGATATAAGTATATTCACTCATTTGATTTAGAATTATGCAGTTTAGTGTTTAGACAAAGTTTTATAGAAGCACAAGTTTACAGTAAGTTCATTATGAATTCATTATAAGTTCTAACATTTATGTAGGAGTTTTGTAGGTGATTTATAACACTGTCTTCACAGACTTAGGATAAAGATTAATCATTAAGGTTTTTACTTAATTCAATAGTTAAAACTCTAAGTTAACATTTATAGAGTGGGTTTTCACTGAACTCATAATCTACAAATCAGACACTTTTATGATAACTTAGCTAAAGACAGAAAGCAACTTTGGGGGCTTGAGAAACATTATTAAAAGCTTTTTTTGAGTTTTCTTTAGAAATAAACACTGCAAGATAAGAGAAAAGTAATGAAGACACCTGGACAAAAAAGGCGATTACAAAACTTTGAAGGTCATAAAAGCCCAAAAGAAGATAAAAACTGCTACGTGAAAAACTGTGTACCTGGAAACTTTCTTGAAACATTTCAAGGACTGTAATTCGGGACTTTGAACTAAAACTATCATTTTTGGCTTTATGATAAAGACTCATTAACTGAAAGTAGATAGTGTTTTTGGTTTATTCATTTCTTCTAAAGACCGCTAGATGGTGACAACTTTTAAAACATATGTACGTGAAGGAATTTTCTTTGTCTTGCCCCTTTATGAATGGTATAAAAGCTCTGTGTTAACTAACATTAAATTGTCATCTGTTCAGGAAGCAGGTGTCCGAGTATAATATTTTCGTCCTTCGCCTATCCATCTCTCCTTCAGGAGATCTCATAACCCGGCAAAGGGGCTGGACCCCTTCAGTATTAAAAGATGCAGAAAGCATCTTGGAAGACTTGCAGTCATACCGAGGAGCTGGCCATGAAATACGAGAGGCAATCCAGCATCCCGTAGATGAGAAGTTGAAGGAGAAGGCGTGGGGTGCAGTTGTACCACTAGTAGGCAAATTAAAGAAATTTTATGAATTTTCTCAGAGGTTAGAAGCAGCATTAAGAGGTCTTTTGGGAGCCTTGACAAGCACGCCCTACTCTCCCACCCAGCACCTAGAGCAAGAGCAAGCTCTTGCTAAACAGTTTGCAGAAATTCTTCATTTCACACTCCGGTTTGACGAACTCAAGATGACAGATCCTGCCATACAGAATGATTTCAGCTATTATAGAAGAACATTGAGTCGTATGAGGATTAATAATGTACCAGTAGAAGGAGAATATGAAGTAAATAATGAGTTGGCAAACCGAATATCTTTGTTTTATGCTGAGGCGACTCCAATGCTGAAAACCTTGAGTGATGCCACCACGAAATTTGTATCCGAGAATAAAAATTTACCGATAGAAAATACGACCGACTGTTTAAGCACCATGGCTAGTGTATGCAGAGTCATAATGGAAACACCGGAATGCAGAAACAGGTTTGCAAACGAGACAGTGTCGTTCTGCTTGAGGGTGATGGTGGGCATCATGATACTCTATGATCACATGCATCCAGTGGGAGCATTTGCCAAAACTTCCAAAATCAATATGAAAGGTTGTATCAAAGTTCTTAAGGACCAGCCTCCCAACAGTGTAGAAGGTCTTCTAAATGCTCTCAGGTACACAGCAAAACATTTGAATGATGAGACTACCTCCAAGCAAATTAAATCCATGCTGCAATAACAGTTCTGGAATAAGCACCTGCTGGAGACAGAAGACAGTATTCTGCAATGACTGAGAAGGCACAGTTTTTTAGTGATTGCAATTCCTATCTCATTTATTCTTGCTTTTCTTTCTTTCCTCTGTTCCTCTTCCCTCTTTTTTAATCATGTTCTTGTTCTTAAGACTTCTTTTCTGTGCCAAAATCAGTAAAGTTTCACTCTGAAGTGTCCTTGGATCTTGTCCCTTCCACAAGCCAC